ACCAAGTTGAGCTATGGTGTGTGCTGTGGCAGTTCTTAGCTATGTGGATCGTCCAAAAACAGGGTAATTTCCAGCCTGAACTTGGTTTTCCCAGCTCTCCACCTGCTTCCAAGCCCCAGGCCCCTGTTCGCAACAGATATCTTCAAGGAATCAAAATTAGTCTCTCTAATTTCCTAATATAACCATAATCCAGAGTTTCTTGCTTCTGACTTCTCTCTGTATGCTAAGGCTCAGAGAAGTGGCCTGCCCCCATTCACATTTTCCTGGCCACTTGCCCCTATGATTTAAAGATTAAAAAGCAAAGTCCAGATCCACTGGCATGTTCTGGGCTATAGTCACAGAACTGCCAGTGCCCAGCCTGTCCACCCCACTCACGTGAGAGGCAGAGCTTGGCATTACCACGAAAGCCTCTCTGTGCTCTGGAGTCCAGTGATAAACAGCACCCCCGACCCATCCCTGACTGCCCTTTTCCTCCCCCAAGCACCGCCCGGTCAGGAGCTGATAGCCAGTATTGCAGAAGTATTCTCATTTTCAGAGCACATTTAAAGCAAAAAGATTTTCAGGCAAGTGAATACCCATAAAACTACGTGAAAGGAACTAAGAGCTTCAAGGATCACTACTTAAAAGAACGCAGCAAACTGTACCTCAATGACCCCCAAGCTACTTCACAAACACTCCTGGGGACTCTCTCAGTATTTCCCAGGCAAGTACTTCACATCTATCACAACAATGCCTAGAACCAGGACCTCAATGCAGAGTCCTTCGACTTGTAACTATACATAATGCATCCCAAGGCACTGAGTTCTACAACCACTAGTTGGGGTGCTCCATATGCCTGGGAGAAATAATCATGCCCTGGGATTGAGAGCCTTGTATTGTTCTCACACTCTGGCCAGGTGCTGATGCAGCACAGCAGCCTGGACTTGGTTCCTCAGGCCCTGGGCTGGAGACGCAGGTTCACAGTCTCGGGGAAGCAGCTCCTAGTATGAGGTCTGGGTAAGGCCAGAACTTCTGCAGCCTACCCAGAACACTTGCTGTCTTCAGTCCAAGGCTATGTGGTCCCGCTAAGACCACAAAGCCTGAGGAAGGAGACACGAGCACTGGTTTGGGTCTAGAAGCTGAAGATCACTTTGATTTATTTCTTCTGGGTCATTTGCAAGTTCCTGCAGGCCTAAGGAATGGAGTGGGATCTCTGGCCTGGCTGTGGCACTTAGCTCACATATGCCCTGTCTCTGGTAGTCCTGGGAGAATCTCATAGCTATGGACTCATGGCTTTCCTCACTTGCTGGGAGAGGCAGGGTGGGGATCCAAGGCCCCTACTAGCAATGCTCATCCCGAGGGATGAATGAATAAATGGTGCTGGGAGGAAAGGGCACATCAATATCCTGCAGAGAACAGCCTAGACCACAAAGGGGAGACCTAGCTGAATAAGTGATGTGTGAACCAGTGACCTCCTCTCCCTGAGCCTCAGTTTCTCATTGTAAAAAGAAGGATGGGCTCAGAAGCCCAAAAGGGTGGCTTCAGCACCATCTTCATGAAGCTCCTCTGAGCTAGCTGAGGCAGTGCCCTAGTTGTCCAACAGCCCCTAAGAAGCAGATCTCAGGCCCAAGAGAAGGAAAGCTTGGTTCGGCCTCCAGCTCTGACAGTATCTGGCTGCCCAGCCACCTCTGGGGGTGCAGTTAAGGTAAAGGAGGCCAGGTTACAGCCCAGAGGTCCTCGGCACTGAGCCAGGCCCTAGAAAATTTGGGTTGCTCCTCTCTTGGGCCCAAATCGGGTTATGTACTTAATCTGTGTAGCTTGGGGAGACCTAGGAGAGTGAGAAGATGTGGGCTACAAGTGCCAGAAAGCCACCTTGGCCCTAAATCATTTGACAATGTTCCACAAAACCATCAAGCATTGAACCCAGGGGTATTTAGAACTTGACTTGTAGGTTCACACTTCTCACCCCAGGTTCCCCAAGCACATCTCCAGGGACTGCCAGGCCCACCTGGACTGAAGCAGGGCTGTGCTGATCAGCAGATTCCGAGGCAGCCCCAGAGACTTCCAGCTCAGAGTTCTTCCCTTCCAGAAGTGCCACCACATGGAGTCAGGAACTTTTAGAATGCAGAGATAGCCCCAACCAATCCCAGCATTATCTCAGAATGACCCCAGCTCCACTGCCTAGCCATGTAACTGTAGAGCCCTTCCTTATAATCTTTACTGTGAGAAGGAAGTGGGTCTACAACATGAGACCACCTGGCAGAGCAATAACCACTCATTTCTCTCTTTTTCTACCATGACTTAGCTTACCAGAGACTAAAAAGCCAGCTGCTCAGAGGCCAGCTGGGAATGGGCTACAGTGCTAAAGGGTCAGGATGAGCCACGGGAGGAGAGCTTTGAAGGGGGGAAGGCCGGAGGAGGAACTGTGTATGCAGGGAGAAGAACACTGAAAGCAGAGATGGGAGCGAGCAGAAGAAAAGCCCCCCTCACAAAACAACAGGCTGGTCTGACCAAAGATGTACCAGTTTGGCCCCAAAGACTTGGAGACAACCTTTAAAACATGGGACTATTTCTAATAAAAAGCCAGATTTTCAGATTCTCCTGAAAATTCAGTAGTTCTGATAATGGTGTGTCCACATTCTCCCGTGGCCACGGTCAGCTGGCTTGAGCAACAGTTGACCCTTGAGTGATAAAAATTCCCCAGCCCATCTTCATTCCCACCTCTGCCCAGCACAAATCTGAAGGCGACCCTTAGCATGCTCTTTGAATAACTGTTTCTGACAGTAGAGCAGTGTGGCTTTTCCCCTTGCCTCTCTCAAAAGTGGGAAAATGACAAATAGACCAAGAGAGCTGCATGTTTCAAGAAAAGTAAGAGCTCATTTGTATTTGGGAAAGCAAAGACAATGCCTACATGCTCACTGCACTCATTTCCTGCCTGGCTCTGGAAACATCTGAGTGTGTCACCTGCCCCAGCAAGCCTCGTCTCCCTGACTACAGTCAAGAAAGACTTCTCACAGGGATATCAGGCTGTCCAATCAGTATCAATACAATGCACAAATATGCATCCCAGTTTGGTGAGCACACTGTGATTTCTGTCACCTCTGCAAGTTCCTGCACACTCCAAGTCCGCCATCCCCCAACCACCACGGCAAGGGCAGTATGAAAGGAAAGTATGTTTCCAGAGAGGCAGGCAGAGTGCAGGCCCCGGCCCCCTGGGGTTGAAGCCAGCCAGGAAGGCTTAGGGAAGGGCCAAGGGGAGTAGGAATAAGGAAGAGAGGAGGGCTGACAGATTTATCAACCCCTGCCTCTCTCCTGGGGTCAGGGTGTGGGAGATACAAGGTCCTGCTCTGTCGCAGCCTCCCAGTTGCAGACACTGTCTTGCCCTCCTTGCCCAGCAGTGTAGCCCTCTCGGCCCTCCTTCAGCCACCTCAGCTTGGCTAGCCAGAGATGCCCATAGGCTGTCACAGCAAAGAGATGTGGGAATTGCCTCCAATTCATGAGGCTGGAGTGGGGCAAGTGAAGGACTCTTACAAAAAGATGGCTCCCCTCAGGAACTGAGCTGGTACTCATCAAAGCAGAGAAGATTCGACAGATAGACACAGGACTGCTCCTCTGCCCAGACCAGCTCCTTGGCTAATACCCAAGTCTCACTGATAATTTCCTTCCAGAAGCCCCTTCTAGTTGGCTGACCTCACCTCTGTAGTACCCTATCAGTCTATTGTGTCTTGTGGATATGTTCCAAGTATGCTCTGTGAGGGGCTCTTCGTGGCCTCTGGAGCACAGAAACCCTGCCGCTGGAGGAAGCACTAGAACTATGAAGGACTCAGAGCTGGATGGTGTTAAGCCTCATCCACCCATACCAGCCATCTGAGCACAGGGTTTTGCCCATCTACCTAGACCACCCAGAAGTGGCTCTGGGCTTTGAGGATCCACCACCTACAGTGGAAAGTCCAAATCCAGGAGCGTGGCATTTGGGACCTTCAAGCTTTAGCCCCTGCCAGGCACCTCCACCTGCCTCTGGACATTCTCCCATGAGCACCCAACATACCAACCATTCTCCAGACAAGCCTGATTCTCCTCCCTACTCCCGGCACTCTTTGCATGTGCTATTCTTTATACCTGGAACACCTTTTTTTTTTCCCTTCAGGAGACTCCCCAGAGAGGCTTCACCATGCTCTCATTCATCCCCCCAGACTTTAATACAGAATAAGCAGGACACCCTGGAGGGGGCCTCTCCCACCATTTATTATCAAGGAAAAGCCTACAGCTGCACCTGCACCCCCACCTCCCAGACTCCATATGACAGGCAAGGCCCCAGTCCCATTGGATACTCAGGTTTGGTTCCTCCAGACCCTCTCTGAGGCCTAGCCCTGCTCCTGGGCAGCATCACAGGAGGAGTAGGTTTGGAGCCAGGAATTGAGAGAGACAGGATGGGCCCATTCATCCAACGTGGTTTCTCAGAAATCCCCAAGGAATAGCCCACAAGAGTTCCTTTCTCTACTAAACATCCCTACTAATTTCCATCCTTTAGATAACAATAGCCACTGAGAAGAGAGCAAGTCTTGGAAAACCACAAATCCTAACACTTCTGACCTCTGACGTCAGGAGTTCCCCAGGCTGGCAGGTCAGCAATCTGCATATGTAGAGAGGGGCCTCCTATACAGGGACAATTGCTCCTCACAGGCTTTACTCATCACCTTCAGGTTAGCTCCTAAAACTGTTACTCATGCCAGGCAGCAATCTGCAAACACGGAGCAGTCACTTTTGAAATGACCACCTCTCAGACAAGCCCCCACCAGATATAGTGATACTTGACATTCACCTAAGTTCTCAGGACATGTGGAAATCAAGCAAGATGGAATGTGTGGAAATAGATGCTGTTCGTAACCTGGCTATTATTGACAAAAGGAGAAAAGGAGCTGCACTTGTCCAGGTGCAAGGATGGGCCTCAGAATGCAGGACAGTCAGATAATATCCAGAATCCAGTCCAGCAAAGCCCCAGCCAGTAGAGCCAAACTCACCTTTTAGGGAGGCAACATGTGACAGGGCCTGGGCATATGTGGCAGTATTCAGGAGGGTTCCCGGCAAGCAGGAGGGAAAGAAAGGTCCTGTGGGAGCCACAGTTCGCCCCAGGCTAGAGAGAAAGAAAATCACATGAGTTCCCAGCCTTGTGTGCCCGCTGGCCCTTCAGGCCCAGGGGTCCAGCCAACCTCACCTCTGCTGGGCCTCCAGGGCCTCCTTCTTGTTCCGGGCCTGGTCCCCAGGGGGTGGGGAATTGACGTTTCTCACAGGCGGTGGTGTCACCTCTGCCATAGGCTCCTTGGCTCCTGGCTCCTGGTCAGAAGCTCCTCTCTCTGTTTTCCTCCACTTGGCCCTTCTGTTCTGAAACCAAACCTGAGTACCCAGTGGAAAACACACCCAACAGAGTCAGAAAATCAGACGCAAGGAGGGAACCAGAACCCAAGCCCAAATGCCTGGACCCTGGGCCACGCTCTCACAACTTGCCTTGCAGCAGACGCACAGAGCCACAGCTTCCCCTTGTCAAGATATCAGCCAAAGCAGTGCTCTCTAAACTGCAGCTGCGGACCCACAGATGGGTCAGAAGGTCAGTGTAGAAGGCATGACACGCATTTTTAAATGAGAGTTAAATCATAGGAAGTATCCAAGTGAGCAGTAAAGGTAAAGTGTTATTTTGTGGAAATTCTCAATTTATGTGGGTACATTTATTTGATGTAAAATGTATTTTCTAAGTGGGGGTGGTAAGGTTTCATTATCAAGCAGTTTATAAAACATTACCTGGGGTTTCCTCATCAAAAATACTTGCTCTTCCAGCAGGTTTGGCCTGAGTACCTGAGTGTGCTTTAGCCCTATGACTTAACCCTGCAATCATCTCTTACACATCATGACAGGTTCTTGACCAGCAGCCCGGTGTATCCATTAGAAACACTGACTCTGGAGTCAGTCCTGGTTTAGAATTCTGGATTCCAGTGAATCTGGTTTAGCGTCTACTGCAACCCTAGGAGGTACACAGTCCTACTATCTCCACTTTATAGAAGAGAAAGCTAGGCACAGAGAGGTCAATTAACTTGCCCAAGGTCGTTCAGGTGGTAAGTGGTGGATTTGCAATTTGAAACCCAGTTTGGCTTGGGCCCTATTCCAAACTGTTTAGGGGGTAATAAGAGTGGCCACCCCCAGCACGTTAGGAAGATTTACCACAGAGATGCACAAAAAACACTGAGCATGGTGTCCTGTGCATAGTAATCCATCATTCAGTTAACATTAGCTAGTGTTATCATCTCTGCCATCCTACCTAGGAGGTGGCTTATAATTCACCTGCTCTAAGTGCCTTCTTAGAGGCTGGTGTAGAATTCTTTAAGCCTTGGAAACCAAGACTGCATTTGCATGGCAGCCAGGCAGCCAGGACCCAACGTATTCCCAAAAGTCAGTGAAATCCTGCTGCTCTTCACTCCATCCGGCAAAACGTCTTCCTCCCTCTCCTAGGACACAATGCCTGGCTTTAAAAACATGCTTAGCTAGACCTCCCTCCTTTTCCCAGGACATCCTCTCCCCTTCCAGCCAGCAGACTGGCCCAAGAGAGTGCCTGGGTCCAGAAGCTGAGCACTCTGCCAGCCCTCCCCGCCTCTGAATTTTCATTCTCCTTTATCCAGGTTTCTTTCTCTCTTTTTTAATCAAGTTGGCTTTTAATTGCACATATCAGCAACCATTGAATAATGATTTTTACTCTATTCTAAATTTAGGGCAGTTAAATGCAAAGCAAAATGCAGACACTTTCTTGCGTCTTAATTGAATGAAGGTCACAGCTATAACAACATTTAATTGAGCTATTTTTCATTATCATATTTTAATGACTTTGCACTGACAGTTCGCCTGCTTCTGAGGAAAGAGCATGATGGAGTCGTTTATTTCCCTATTTAGTTATTGTTTGACAACATCAGCTTCGATTAAGACCCTGCTTTATAGAACATTAATCATATTTGAATGAGCAAGCAGTGTAAATGTAAACACATCTCCCTTCCCGCCACCTAAGCCCGTGTTCCCACATGGAGGCTCACTAAACAAATGCTTCACAGCCATTGTCTGTTTGCATAATAGCCAACAACAGCCTCAACAACAATTCTCGGCTTTAATTGTCACCACCCCTATCTCACCCTTGCACCTTTCAGGGAGAAGTTATGATCTTCCACTTCTGAATGCTCAATAATTGTGTCATTTATCTCAATTTGCAGTTCAGTCTTTAGGCAGCTATTGGCAAGCTGGCATTAAAAAAAGAAAGGAGAGACGGCATCCTGGCCAAAGGAGATTTTCATTTCCAAATAATAATCAGTTTAATTTGCCCGCATATGACCAATGATTCATGTTCAGATTTAATAATCAGGATCACATAATCTGATTATAGGGGAAATAATTTGTTTACAACCCCCAATTTACTGCTCAGAATTCCATTATCTCTCTTCAGCCATTGGTTTTTAAGAGATACTAACATGACCCAGGGGAACTGAAAGCAAACTATTATATTTCCTACAATTAGATCTTTGCATAGTCTTAACCCCAAGCCCCTACATAAAAAAGAACAGAAACAGCATGGAGGAAACCCCATAAATAAAATGAATATATAATTGTGCTCAAAGAATAGCTCGCCTGGAGAGGCGGTACTGGGAATCTGTTCCTCCCGCGCTCAGGCACATCATCTGCTGGGCTCGATGGGTTTGTGCACTTAAACATAATCACTGTGTAGCTTCTAAAAAGAAATCCTGCTTAGAGACAGTCACCACAACCCATGCTCACCTCTGAGGCAGCCCTCTTGCTGCTGCCGTTTAAAGATTTTTAAATTGCACATATTCTTCGGATCTACTTCACTAAAAGTGTCCACGTGCCGGGGAAAAGTTGGACATGATGCAATTTCTGGAAAGCAGATCCTACCCTGTTCCCATCTGAAAACACAGTTCTCTGCAATTGACCGGCCTTACCCCAGAGTGGTCAGAGCTGCTTTGAGAATAGCATCTCAGCTCTTTTTTTTTTTCTCCAAAGCAAGGAAATGGATGTGCATTGATGTAATTTAGTACCTTAGAGACGCGGACAAATTAGTGTAGAACATTATCACTAGTTAATTATGAATGACCGATTAATCAACCTAATCTAATATTCCACATTATGTTGATGTTATTAAAGTGCATCATGAAAATGACAGATAGTCTTCATTTGCTTTCTTTGGCCAAATGTGCACTCTGCAGTCATGATGTCAAAAAAAAAAGTTTGCCAGTTTTAATATTAGGGAGTTAAATAATTGAACAGAAGGCTCACCTGCACTCTGGCTTCCGTGAGGTTTATTTTCATGGCCAGCTCTTCTCTAGTGAAGACATCGGGGTAGTGCGTCTGGGCAAAAACTGCCTCAAGAGCTTCCAGCTGGTAAAAGGAAGACATATTTACTGGTGAGAGGTTGTGGCTAGATGGGAGGAAGCAGATGCATATTTCAAATTTGCTACGAGTGGTGAGGAAGTCATTTCACAGATCAAATAGGGGAGAAGAAGGAGAATAGAGCTCTTCGAAAAGATCCCACAGAATTAAAATTTCAACCACTGATAACTTAGGAGCTAAGACTTGCTAACAACCTCAATGCTCCCCCAAGAAGTAGAAGTATGAAGAGAAGTGCAAATATTTACATGCATTTACATTTAAATATTTTCATAGGAATCAAAATCTAAGGGTGGCCTTATGAATTAGAGCAATCTACACAGTATTCACCATAGGGTGTAGGAGAAAAGAAACAATTTGCAGACTCTCTCCCTGTGTCAGTCCCACAGAAACTGCCTAGGGGTGTTTGGGTCACCTTCCTGACTGCTCCAGTTTGCTCCAGAAGTTGAACAGATCTAAGAGAAGGGGCCCAGGTCCAGGAAACACAATATCAGGGTTCCAGTTGTAGCCCTCCCATTTATAGACAACAATACCTTCTACAAATCAATCAGCTTCTTGGGTCTCAGTCTTTTCATACCTACCGGGGATAAATATGTTCTACTTGCCTTCCCCAAAGGATTATTTCAAGATTCAAATGATATTGCTGATGTGGAAATGTTCCCCAAACTATCAATCTTAGTCAAATGGGGGCAATCATTATCACCTCTTCACTTACTATCCAGGATCATAAGGTCAAAGTCTTTTGCCCTCTCCCAGAACAGATTCCTTGACACATAAATTGTTCAAGAAACTAAAGATCTGGTTAACATAATCAGTTTGCTTTATTTGAAAAGACAAAGAAGAGCAGCTCAAACCTTGATGTTTTTGGAGGCATGAAGCAGCAACTTCTCAGAAGGGGAACGCCCTCATTACCTGCTGAAGAGTGAATGTCGTCCGGTTCCGGCGCTGTTTCCTGCGCAGAAACCCATCGTCAAAATCTCCTGTAGAGTGGTTGCCAAAGGGTGCGGTGCCTGCTGGAAGCAAATAGAATCAGCCTGAGCAGAGGATCCCCAGTCCACACCATCCCCTGGCCACGCACACTCATTTGGAGATACCAACCCATCTCCTCCAGACAGAGCCCTGTCAGTCCCAAAGCATCTTTCCTTGCTCCTCTTATTAAACCCCCTCTTTTCCACTCGCTGTGCTCTCTCTCCCAATAACCTATGACTTTACGCTCAGCTGTGCCTATTTCATAGGATGGGTGGTGACCTTACTCCCCAAGACAGCCAAATTCGCTTCTTGCGAAATTCTGGACTCAGGCAGAAAAGGTCATTGGCTTGAGGTAGAGCCTTCATCTGCCCTCCAGCTGCCAGGTGCACCTCTGTCCAATATGTCTTTACTTCATCTCCTATCTCAATGGAAGCCACTATGTCTTCCTTTTGCTCACCTATTAGTCAACTTGCAGGTGTTTCTATAAACAAGGGTTAAAAGGTAGGAGTTGGGGAGGAAACAAAACATCAAAAGCTTTTCACAGCACTTTTCTCCTAGAACTTCAGGACAGGAGGAAGTAAGAAGTTTATAAATGAATATTAATTACCGTTGGTCACAGCTCATCAGCACCATAGTGGATCTGTTGTATAGATGTCAATTAACAAGATATCTGCACCAATAACTGCTGTCCTAAATTCCAAGCAGACTTACACAGGGCCGCTGTCAAAGGACAACCCCCGCCTCTGGCCAGGCTCATAAAGGCACTGCATGTGCTTCCCTGAAAAGAAAGGTGTTCTTTCCACTGTCCTCCCAGCAGCCTCCAAAGCTCCTATAAAGCCAGAACAGTTTGGCCCCAAATATGGATTCAGATCATTTTCCAAATATGCACCATTTACTTGACAGTCCACAATGGTTTCTTAGGAAAACAAATGAGCAAGTTCCCATTAGCCAGTGATGGTCATATTTGCCATGGGCTTTGGTCTCAGAATCACTGCATATTCAGCATTAGGAGCTGGCAAGCCACATGCCCAGACAATGTCCCTCAGAAGGACTTCGACCCCAAAGAAGCAAGATCCTTTAGGCTTTTAAAAATTCTATCTACTAAAGGGAGTTCCTCCTACTTATTATTCTCCAGTGCCGCATCCTTTGCCACAATACCCTGACTCTCTGCTGAAGCCTTCTCCCTCTGTCTTCCAATCCAAATTGCATTCTTCAAAACCCTAGGTATAAAAATTTCTCTCTAGCTCACTGGAAACTTAAAAGAGCAGCCTCAAAGCAGTCTTATTTCCATTATTTTGTGGGAAACCAAACTGTTTCCTTTTGAAACAAAGCACTTCACTGGTAAGGATGGAATGCAATCTCTAAGACTCTCCAATCACAATCAGCTTCAGGCTGGTCCCAAATTAGTTCACTTTGTGTACACATAAGAGCTCTAAGTGAAACGCTGCATATCAAATTGAATCCTAAAAAAAGACTGATGCTTCATCAAATTAATAAGTGCAAAGGTTGACAACCTAATAGAAAAGAGGAAAATATGAAAGGAGGCTTTTTACTTAAAAATAAGTACAGTAGTCAATAATGTTATGAAAATGTTAAAGCTTGTCGATAATTAAACAAAACAGAACAATGAACTACTATTTCCACCATCTTGGCAAATAAAATAAATAAATAAACAAACAAACAAACAAACAAACAAACAAATGTCAGCATGATACCCAGTGCACACCATTCATCATTTGTAGCTGCAGACTTATTAGAGGGTAATCTGACAATTTTCATAAAAAATTTAAGTGCACATATGGGCATTTGATCTATGAATATACTTTTAAATTGTGACAAAGTAAAGAGAAAAGAATGTTCTCAGCAACACGGTAATTTAAAAAAGAATCTGGAAACACCCAAAGTCCCTTGTGGTAGACACTTTTTGCACATCCGATGGAATACTACACAGCAGTTTAAAGAAATCACTAGATCTGTATACATCAACATGGGAAAACCCTTAAAATATATATTATGAAGTGAAAAAAGGAAAGTTCTGAATGACATGGCAGTATGATCTCAGCACAAATAAGGCATCATAAAACATACACAGAAAAATACATAAATGAGGGTAAAAACATATTTTTCTTGAAGGGATCACAAGAAACCAAGACTAGGGTTTAATAGAAAAAGAGATGGAGGATTTTACTTTTCAATGGATAGGTTTGTTTTGCTTTGATTTCCTAAGCAGGTATATGTAGTATTTTTAAATTTAATATCAGCAAAATTATCTGAGAAGTGAGATTAGGAGCCATGCTGTGCTTTCTCCTTTATGCCTCTTTACATTAATTAAAAAAATAAAAATTAAAAAGCTAATATCCAAAGGTCTGTTCGCAGCCTTTCCAGATCACCTCTTCTCCAGCATCATTAAGCTAGAATAAACACCTCTTTCTGCAAAACTGGCTTAGAAACACATCTGCAAAGAGATTAAGAAAAAAGTTTCTTAAAGACCCATCTTCTATTTTTGTGATCATAGCAGTCAGAATCAGCTGTGAGGTGAGATGTTCCTGAGGTGTGGGATAAAAGGTGAGCCCACAGAACTGAGCTGATAGCAGCAAGCAGCTCTGTGTTGGGGCCATGGCAGGCTGGGCTAGGACTCTCCCTAAGTGGCTTCTGTGATCTGCCCTGCAGACAGAGCTTTCCCCATAAGTTATCCAGGCAGCGCACCACCTGCTAAATGCCCCAAACCTAGGCCTATACCACTTTGACCAGAAGGGTGGGCCACTGGTTGTCAATCAGTCCAAACCCAAAGTTCAGAAGTGTAGCGATGTGTCCACCGCACATTCAGAGAGTCTCCATCCAGGCCTGAGATACAGTGTCAAGGGATGGACCTCTCAGAGCTTTGTATAAAGCCTTTCTGCCTGGGTCCTTGGAGGCAAAAGGAGGTGAAATGCAGGCAAGTGTCTGGCCTCTCCTTAGGAATGTTGACCAAGCTGGCAATGCTTAAACACTGGTTCTCATTAGCTGCCTTTAGAAAATGCCACTGACCTCTTAAAAGCTTCCATAGGAAAAACAAAAACAAACTTCTGAAATCCTTGTGCTGTTGGCCAGCTGAGGCTCAGCTACTGCTCAAGGTAACCCGGGGCAAGGTGAACAAGCATCCTCAGATATCTTAGGTCCCTCAGTGTCTCACCACCTTGTCCTGACTCATGTTTCCCTGGATTTCTTGGCCTTCAAAATTCTTCCACCCCACAAGTAAATCAAAGGAGTAGATTGCCAAAGCCAAGTACTGGTATTGCTTTCACAGTTATAAGTTCTAATGTCCCATAGCTGAGACTATTGCTCTGAGGAAGGTTCTGTTAAGGGCCAAAGTGTTTGGCTTTCCTTTTGCCTGATGCATACTAATTCCCCCTGTTCAGAGGGCCCCCTTCTTGAAATTTCTACTCCCCTCCCCACCCTGGCGGCACCAGAGATCCAAGCTGTTCCCTTCTCATCAACCTACCTCCACCTAACAGTCCCATGCAGAGATCCCACTGGGGATCCTGAGGCGGAATTTCTTCTAAGGCCTGGAGACCCTCAAAGACCCAAAACTTGGCCAAGGGGCTGCCCACGGGATTGGGGAGTGGTTGGCATTTGAGGTCAGAAACTCAGTGAGTCACAGAGGAGGAGCCAGGCCAGGGCACTCAGGGAGGTGGTGGGCAAGGCCACCTGGCTCCGAAGGGCCACAGTGGCCTGGAACAGACGTTGAGGCCCCAGAGCAGTATTGCCTTGCGCCGGAGTGACAGCAGCCAGCAATGGGTCGTTCTGGTTCATGGTCGGGCCCAGGACAATGCAGGCCAACTCCCTAGTCCACCTTGGCTTTTCAGGATGTTTGCAAAACACCGTGAAAGATTGATGCGGCCCCCTGGGCGGGGTAGCCACGATTAGAGGCGTGACACCAGCATCTGTGCTGGGAGGACCCGGCTGGTCCCTGCGGCTCGCATAGCCCGGGGCTGTTCAGCTCAGGCAGCGAGAGATGGTAGGAGGCAGGTGGCGACTGGGCGGTAGGCTGGAGCAGAGTATGGGGAGGGGGACAGGGGCGCCTCGACCCACCGTCGGTCGGCTGCACCCCTGGCAGGTGGAGACCCAACCACCCGCCAGCCCCACTGCCGCTTGAGCCTTTTCTGGCCAACGCAGGCCTTTCGGAGCGCCCGGAAGCGGCGCTTACTCACCCTCCAGCTGTGGTGGACAGTGGAAATAAAACATCGCCGACGGCCGGATCTTCTGGACTGCCGGGACCCAGAGAGTGACCGCGGAACCGACAGGCGCGCCTCGCTCCGGCCTGGCTGCAAAGCAAAGAGCGATAGTCTAAGTCTCCCTCAGTCTGCGCCCCAGCCCGGCCTGGAGCTTACCCGGCGCTCTCCTCCGGGAAAACCCCTCCTAACGCCTTCGCCCACTGTGGGGACTGGTGCGAAGGTTGCAGCGCCGTCTCAAGCCGGATCCCCGAGGGATGGCCCTTCATTTCGGGTCTACCTCCAGAACAACTGTGCTCCCACCCCGGCCCCCATACCAAACCCGTTCAGTTCCCGGCTCTTAGGTGCTCCCGGCGCAAGCGCTGCACCCAGGCCACCGCAGCCCGGTCCCGCGAACGTGCCAAGCCATCTGTGCGAACAGCAGTCCCGGCCAGGAAGGCAGCCGATCCGCCCAGGCCCGGCGCGCGGGGCTCGGTGAGCGGGTCGGGAGCCGCGCGTACCTCGGCGGGTGGCGGGCGAAGAAGGCCGGAGCGTGACTGCCTCCGGTCTGCACGCCGGGCTCGGCTGGAGGCGGGCGGGGCTCGGCGCGGCTGGCGCCCGCAGGACCAGAAAAGTGACTCGGGAAGTGGCCAGATGTCTTGCTGTCTGTCTACAGCGCGCGCCGCCGCTCAGCACTCGCCTTTATAATCTCACGCATAATTGGCCTTAATCTGATTATTTCCAGCGCTGTCTACAGCGAGTAACTTGGATAGGTCTATTGGGCCTTACAAATGGCCCACGTGGTGTAAAAAAAAAAAAAAAAAAATCTGTCATTTTCCAGCAAACATTAGGAATGTTTTCCCCCATTTCTTTTAAAAGAGGCTGGTAACAACGATGACCCCCACCCACCCAAAAAAGGCATTATTTTCTGAACACTTCACCCCACCCCTACCCGCGTCCCCCGACGCAAACCTACTTTCTCCTGAAGAGCTTAGATTTGGGCGCGCCCTTGTCAGAGGCCTGGCGGCTCCCGGGCAGCGAACTGACAAAGCGCTGCTAATTTTCGCCGCCGGATGGGTTTTGGGGGGACTCTTTTGCACACGGCTTCCCTTTCCAAGCGACCGTACAAAAGGAAAGTTTGATTTTGTTCTCAGCAAGGGGTCCCTGAATTTATGTTTGTTTCTCGATGCAAATGATATGCGGTGGGACCCTTCGCAATTACTTTTAAAATGCATCCGAGGCAGACACTCAGCAGAGAGAGACCGCCCTTCCCTCTGCCTGGGTGAAAATTAAACTCTAAAGTACCGGGCTGAAATTTTCAAGTCAGGGGCGCAGGATTGGATCAAATCACATAAACTGCAAAAAAAGCAAGTCTAATGGTGCATAATTGGTTCTGTAATAGCATTACACCAGGATAATAGCCCGTTACGGCCCCCTGCACTATTAAGTGCTTCCCTGGCGGAAAGCCTTTATGATATTAAAGGGGGAATATAATGATATTTTGGTTATTAAATGCGTGTAATTAATTTATGCACCACTGAAAATAAAGTTGGTATTATGACCCACTCAAGATGCATCAGAAGATGCAAGTCAGACAACTGTTGATAAGTTCTGGTGTCTGTGTTCTGTCTAGACTGCTGATTTTATTTCGGGACGATGGCTTCTTGGACAGACTGCTTAAATTGAATATTTTATAAACATTCTAATGCTGCGTTCAGGAGCCATGGCGAGGCAGTAGGTCAGGGCCCTGCACTGCCTTGCATAGGCCTTGACCTTAAAGACACAGCGTTGGAAACAAAAAGCCTGGCGGACCCACATGTGGACATCAGCCCCAGCGAGTCGTGTCGAGCTGTAGGGCAGAGTGCCGGGGCCCTGGTCCGCCGGTGGACACATCTCTGAAAACCACCTGGAGAAAGGCGCAACTCGGCTCCTTCGGAAGCAAGTCGGAGCCTGGTGAACCTCAGTGGCCCCTCCTGGGCACAGCCCGCCTTAGCGCGCGAAGTCGGCCCAGCCACACGGAAGAAACCGCTGGAAACTCGGACTCGATTGAGAGAGGAGAGTTCCTACGGCGCCAGCTCAGCCCGGGCTACCGACTCCGCGAGTCCAGGCGGCAGGCCCGGGAGGTAGCGCACCTGCAGGTCGGAAGTCGGGTTCGGTAGCAGGCGGGGCCAGCGGAAAATCTGAGAGCGCCCTTTCCACTTCACCCAGAGAGGGCTGGAGCCCCGAAAGCCCACCCTCTCTCAGCCCCTGACAGGAGGCTCAGCGCGCGTTCTCTTTCTCCGTTTCCTTCAAAGGACTCCTGCTCTTTGGGGCCCTTTCCAAGAGCCTGATGCTCCCCTTGCTCGCCTGGGTCTGCCAAAAGCCCCCTCAGGCTCCTGCCAGCGCGCCCTGAGCCTGGTGCCTGTGAAGCGAGGTTAGGAAGGCATCCGGGCAGGTTGGGCCAAGATGTTCCAGGCGCACCAGAGAATCTGTGCGGGGACCCTTGCTACCAGGCTCCCGGTGCTTCGTTGGCCGCAGAAACCATCGAAGTCCAAGCCCCAGTCTCAGCTCCCCATCCCGACATCAACCGAGGCAACAAGAGCTGTCTCGGAGCTAGACAGGCTTGTTCTGGGTCTGCAGGCAGCGCTCTCTCCGCTCCTCCCGCCGAGTCAGAACCCTAGACAGGGCACTGGTTCCTCTCCGGCAGCGGAGTGGAAAAAGGCGGGTCCCAAGGGTTCTCCTGGATCCCCGCGCTGTGTCGCGGTGGAACCCGCCCTTCCGGATCCCGGGCGTTGGGGGACCGACTGATAATCTCTGTGGTCCAAACCTGCGAAAGTTACTTGGGACGCGCGCTCAGCGCTCGCAGCAGAGACCGAAATCTCGACTCCGCAGTACAGCGCGTGGCTCCTGCTCCGCGTCTCTAGCCGGGAAGCGTCCCGCAGCCTATCGCCGCCTGGTCTTGGCCCTCTCAGCGTCCCGACGCGAGCCTGGCTGCTTCCCTGGCTGGACAACCAGCCCGACTGTAGGAAAACACGCACCTCGGCGCGCGGCTTGGAGCCAGGTCAGGACCCTCGGCCTCGCCTAGACTGATGTGCCCTCTCCCCGATCCGCGAAGCCGGGCTCGTTCCTGTTAGCAAAACAGCGAAAAAACAACCAACCAAGCAATCTTAGAAACGAAAGGCTACAGCAAACTTTAATGACGCCAATCCCCCTTTTTCCCTCAGATCATCTCGGACAACCCGGGGCCAGGGATAAGGTGACTAATATGAATTTGCTACCGTCCTCCTCCCTGCTAAAAAGGGCGTTAGTAACGAAAAGGTTATTTTTTTCTTAATTCTTGTGCGGTAAAATGTATTTTTCAATTAACCAAATTCACTGATCTGTCCCGCTTGGACACTCTGATGATTTACAACCTAAAAGTGTACTTTCTTTATCTAAAGACCAAGGTGACTGCTTTTAATTTTCTCTAACCTCTTTACACTTGATGTTCACCAGACTCATAATGTTAATTGGCTTCATATACGGATCATCAGTTTAATGAAGAAATAAATCCTGTGTTGCTTTATGTTTTAACAGTGATTGCTTTAATGAGGAATGTGACGTGTTCCAAAATCAAAGCTGCAGAAGACATTAGAGGGGGCTTCTCTATTAGGATGGAAATGCTTCATGTTAAAACCATGGTCGTATTTCAACAGATTCTCACACTCCTGGCTCTTCTCACCCCCTCCTGGGTTACTTCCATCCTCTGGAAGGAGACAACTCTGTGTTTGGTCCTCCTCTTGATATTTAATACACAGTAGCCGCAGTCTCTATTCCCTACAAGAATCATTTTCTGGTTACTAAACAGGCATGCTTCTTTACCTCCTGTCCTGCAGAATACAGAGAAGCCAGAACAGAGTGTAGAGTTCAACTTTCAAGGTTGTTCACTTTTTAAAAAATAAAGCAGAAGGAGAGTAACATACACACCCTAAGATTTATGTGCAGATGTTACAGAGGTGGCTCCCCCAGAGCAGTACATCCCTACCACTGAAAATTCAAGCCTCAGCTCTTAAAAGCGGACACCTTCGGATAGGCAGAGTCGACTGCTGCTGACCCATGCTCTAGCCCCTAAAAATGTCTGCAGGGAATGTACTGGGCTCTCACTTGGATGATGAGAGTTGTACATCCCTATATCAATTAACCGGAGAGTAAATCTGCTTTCTCTAATGGGTGTTTGATTTTTCTAATTTTAAGCTTCTTCCACAAAGGGAAAACTGTCGTCTCAAAAACACTGAGAGCAGCAATAAAATTCTGGAAGTCGGAGCATCTATACCTGTAAGCTCTAAATTGTCTTTCAGTTGAATTATGAATTATTTTACATTGATTTCTAAAAAGAATATTAAATCCTTAGAAAATGTAGGGATTTGAGGCTCCAGGTTAATGTCTCAAACACCACATATAGTATTCATTTCTTACCATTAGCTCTGTTTTAGGAAAACTGGAGAAATATTTAGAGGCACCACTGTCAACATCTTTTGAGCCCAAATGCATGAATGTATGTTGGACTTGATATCTGAGTTGTACTCAGAAGAGATTTTCCCAACCTTCCTTTAAAACTTTCTTTAGCAGAAACAATTTCAGTATACATGGTCTAAAATCATAACAATGGAGTGCAGCAGATAAAATATTTCAATTTTCAGGAAGGAAAAAAACACCTAAATTCCTAATTATGTGTTTCAGAAGTGATTTTTAATGTTGTTTTGTTATTAAAATTTTTTAAAGGCCTCTGTGGTATAATCCCCAGTGGCCACACATCTCTCCTAAGGCTGAAGGTTCCGAATATGTCTGTTCAGTATGGACACTGCATTTTCTACTTATTGGCAAATCTATTGTCATTTTGTAGTTTTGGAAATTGCCAAGAAAGCTTGGGTTAGCTAAACATGATAGACTATGTGGGAAAAAAATAGCAACTAATTGAAATTCCAGATAAACAGGCGACCATGAACAGAAAATGTGTATATACGACAAGGGATGGATATGCATTTTATTATCTAGGAAACTCTCTATCATTAGTTTTACTGTCATGTAAAAAGTAAAAGCAGCTACTTATATGCAAGCCAGCTTCCAATATTACCTCACCGGCAGTGGCCACAGGACAGAGTGTATTCCCATGTGGTTCCCAGGGAATTAAACAGCTCAGCTCAAGGCTGCCTTATCTTCACAAAATAAGAAAGCATTGCACCTGAGGCAGGCCCATCCTCTGCAGAGTCTATGTATATCTAGCTCCATTCAAGTAGTCTCCTGTCTTCATGAGCTGGGTAAGCTTGAGCAGGTGGGTTACTTAGTCTCTCAGGACCTCCATGACTTCCTCTGGGAAGGGGGATAAAATGCTTACATCGAGTGCTGATGGGAGGATTAAAAACAGTACTAAAGGATGTTTAGAAAAGTGAAATTATTCTGTATGATACTACAGTGCTAGAGACCTATCATTATACTTCTGTTAAAACCCTTAGAATGAACACTAAGAATGAACCCTAATGTAAATCATGGGCTCTGGATGCTTGTGATGTGTCAATGTAGGTTGACTGATTATAAAAGATGTACCACTCTGGGGGACGATGTTAATGGGGAAGCAGCACA